TTGTCGGACTTGGATATTTGAACAGACTCGAAGACATAATCAAAGAAAAACATTATCATGTCAAATGACAATGTTTTTTCTATATCAATAAAGGAATATTAGAGAAAGCATTTTCAAGCCTTAACTAAGCTTCTGTAAAAGCAATGTTAAGAAAACTTATGGAATACTCTAAATTGATTATATCCCTTTTGGTCATCTAACAATATATTGAGTTATTTATGAAAAATAATAAAACTCATCTAATTGATTCTACTACATTCTCTAAAGAGAATGCTATGATATCTAATAATGTTGGATATGGATGATATCCTGGTTGTGGTCGTGAACACAACGGGGGATGAGATAATTTTAACAATCATGATAATTATAATAATTATAAGAGCACATTTTCCCCTCAGAAGTGAAATAGCAATGAAGAGAAAAGATAAAGCCAAAAAAATAAATATTCAAAAAGTTCAGAGAATATATATTAGTTATGTGGCATACAAGGACATTGATTACATACCCATCTTACATCAAAAACCTAGTTAAAATTTGTCATGCATCAGAAAGATAAGAAAAATATAGAGGCAATTTTGGCTATCAAAATTGTTGGTTTTAGTTTATATATATATATATATATATATATATATTCACCGTGGTCTCCAATATAATTTTGGGGGCAGAGATCTCAACAGTAATAGGGTAGTAATAGCAGCAGAAGAGATGTCAGATCTTATCGTTGTTACAGAACAGGATAGTACAGTAGCAGGAGGATCACAATCTTCTTGTATAAAACCCGAAGGTTTAAAACAGAAACTCGAAGGTTAGAATAGAACCCGAAGATTAGAACCCGAATGTTAGAATAGAAAACTCGAAGGTCAGTTTTCAGAAACCCGAAGATTAGAATAGAAAACACGAAGGTCAGTTTTCAAGAACCCGAATGTTAGGTTTTTTTAATATATATATATATATATGAGAAAACTGTGTATGCACTGCCAGCTCTCTGTTTTCGTGCGCTGCAGGGGTTTTTTTCGAAAAAAACCCACCCGCGTTTAATCCCCTCCGTGACCTTATCTCTCTCTCTCTCTCTCTCTCACATCAAATCTCTATCTTCTCCCCAAATCTAGGGGTGGCAAATGGGTCGACCCGACCCGACCCGACCCATATAAAATTTGACCCGACCCGTATAAGTATGACCCGACCCGACCCGTTTAATAAATGGGTCAATGTGACCCGACCCATTTATTAAACGGGTTACCCGACCCGACCCATATAACCCAAATGACCCGTTTAATAACTTATGGTTTTTTTCCATTTACTTGAATAATCAAATCTGTAAATCCGAATTGAAAAAAGGTTCATATGAAAAAAATTCATCCATGCAACATTTAATACATAATTGCAGAGGCATAAACCATACTGTAAAAAGAGCATTAATTCACTATAATTCAAAACTTTTTACAAGTTAAAAAAGAAAGAACACAAACTATATGATGAATCTAAAGTTTTTACATTGTTGCAGAGAAACCCTGGAAGCGGTGAGGAAATTCTGATACAGGAAAATAAGATCACCAAAAGGGAAGATTCGGGAGTAGCTAAATAAAAAGGCAGAGACTATAAGGTGCAGAACTACAATACTGCTTCTCATGAAAAAATAAAACAATGCAAACTTGAGTTACAAGTTCCAACAAAGCAGCAGCAAATAAAACAATGCTTTCAGAAGGCAACAAAACCAACAACATCAAGACTGAGTTTTTTACAGCCTTTTCGAAGAACTTGGTTATGCAGTCCTTCCTCTGTGCATTCCTCTGTGCAGGTTTCAGTGACTCCAATCCTTTCACAGACTTTGTTCGTTGCCGACACGTACTCTTGATTCGTAAAACAATGCTATCGGCTTCGCCGCATATCAGCGAGATCTCTCGGACATTCCTAAAATACAAGGTTTTCCCAAATTGCAGCATTCAGGAGGTGGGTGAACGAAAGTGGCATCTAAAACTCACAAGCATGACATAGACCTGAAATAGCAAACACGATCAGCGGACAGATACCAAAATGCCGATCTGACCTTGAAAAACAAAAGCTATCACTCCTGTCCAAGGAAACATATTAAAACATATTAAAACAAAATGCCATCATTTGTGATGTACACCTTTGATCATTATTTTTGTAATTGAGTGTTTCATCCTGCTACTATTTGTTGTTAACATTCATAAGGAAGATTACTATGAGAAAGCTCAACTAATCATATCGATTTGGGAATCAAGACTTTGTAGTGAGACGGGATTCTCCCTAGTCCTAAGTCCAACCATCATGTGCCTATGCATCTTGTAAGAAAAGATTCAGGATTTGTGACAGAAAATTGCCCTCCTAAGTTCAACTTTACACCCATATTTTAATAGATACAACTATTAATTCATACCACTCCATTCAGAATTTCAATATCAGGAAAATATATGTATTCATATCTCTATCCGCAGAAGAAAACAAATACATGTTACATGTGTAGTACACTAACATTTACTCTCACACGCACCTGTCAACTATTTAGAAAGATTTAACTAATGAGCATGAACATCACATACGAAGAACTGAAGAGCACAGCATGAGAACGATGAATTTGGTAAAAAGAAAGGGAGATCGCACTAAGTGCTAACACAACTATTGAGAAAGATTTAACTGATGAGCATGATACTCACTGCCAACACAAAATTCTAAACACTAATTTAACAGGAGATATTAAAGTTAAAAATGGTTAAACTTTGGGTTAGTTTTCTTGGGCAAATTTAAATTTCAGCATATCAGACTTTAAGGAATTGAAGCACAACTAACCCTTTTTAAATTTTTTTGTAGTTGAACTTTTCTTTACCTTTTGCTTATCAATCTTGTCAAGTCATTTATTTCTTATTCAGTTCCTTTCATCTTTTGATCTATTACAATTATAGAAGGTAGAAGTTCATGTGAACTAGTAATCAAAGTGAATCAACCTCTTTGCGTCTGCTAACAAAAACAAGTTCTTTGCCTCTGCCTTTTATGGCAACCTTCAGTTTTCGATTGACGGTGCTGCCCCAGCCTTTCTAGGGCGAAGAAAGTAAAACTAAGGCTTGATCTTGGCCTAAAATCATGGTAAAGGGATTCACTATCCAGACAGTTTTGTAAATGCTATTGATACTCCTTAGTGTTTGTACGTGCATATACACTCTTCATGGTCTGTGTATTGGTAGTAGTTATTTGACAGCTGCTATTTGCGTAATTAAGTGTCTCTTTTGTGTTTCTGACATGTCTTCTAAAATCTTCATTAGATGAATCTGCTTACTACATTATCGCCTATAAGAATTATGGTAGATATTAGAACTCCATTTAACTGTAATGAAAATTACAAAACTACATAAGATTCATAAAATTAAATAAATTCAACAGATAACACAAATTCAGTTTTATCTGTATAATGCATCTTTGTCTAAATATCCACACAAGTAGTTAACTATTTCATTGAACACTAGCTGCTTCTAAAGTCACATTACATTACAAAGGGTTGTAAATAAATTCACTTAGAAAACAAAAATATAGGCATGTGTGGATCGATATCTCATCCAAAGATGAGAACCTAGCAACAAAAAATAGGACCTGTATACATGCAAGTCAGCAATTTTTACCTTCTACGGAAACATTAATCCAACCCATGGTCATGCGAGCAAGTAGCTAAAAACTGTAGAGTGTACCATATACTCTTGAAAGGCACTTGAAATTGAGATGGTATAATTAGAATATAGCATTCTAGTAATTTTGAGTCCTTTAGTAAAAATCACTTAAGGTGCCTTTAGCTAGCTTAGTCTCTTTCTTGCCAGAATGGATTGCGCTAATGGACTCCTAAACACTCACAGTATGGTCTGAAGACTAAGTAGTTACCATAAAAGGCCATGGCATTAGCGGCATAACTTACCTTTGCCAGATTATAATATTCTCCTTTGCAATTAGCTTCCTTTAAAAAAGGGCAATAATGTATGTATGTACATGTAACCATTTCCATGACGAGTATGACTCATTCCTCAATGACGAGAACAAAGTGATGTTCTAATACTATTTACATGCTTCAGAAACTGGATATTTCACATCTTCTAATTAATGAAAACTCTATGTGATCACATATCTATTAAGTCCTCAATGTCAAAATGAAACATTTGAGGTAATCCCTGCTCAGTTTAATCATGCAACATTGCGAGCGGGTCAGCAACATTGGAGGCTGAGAGAACTTGACAACTCTTTCCTAGTATTCTGTCAAGGAAATGACCACCTTATATTCTTATAACAAATCTAAAGAAAATAAATCTAATTAGATATTAAAAATCAGTACTAATTCTACACAAAAAGGGTTGCAAAGAATTTATGTATGTATGTAACAAATTAATAAGATAAATTTGTGACTCGTAACACATAAGTTTAACTAGTTCAGGGGAAAAAAAACTAAAGATGAAATCCTTTACATGAATTCTAATTGACCAGAGTTCACAGCTCCTTCACCGTCTTCTTCAAATTAATTTAAAGAAACTTGAGCAAAATGAAAGAAACCTAATTTTGATGAAGCTTAGAGAGATGAGAACTTACAGAGAGGATCGAGCTCGCCGTTTGTCGCCGCTCGTCGCTCGCCGTCACTCGTCGTCACTTTTGATGAAACGACGCCGCTCGCCGTCACCTCTCGCCTATCGCCGCCGCTCGCTCCTCGCTGCTCGCTCCTCGCTGCCGCTCGCTGCTCGCCGCCGCACGCAGATGGGAAATCTAGGGTTTCATTTATGAGAGACGAAGAGAGGACGGGTTGAACCCTAGATTTCCTTTATTTTCTCCGTAGAAAGGAATGGGACGGCCCGAATTTTCAATCGCGGGTGAGCTTTGTGTTACACGGGTCAGGCGGGTCAACCCTAACTTACCCATCTAATAATCAATTCAATTTGGGTTGACCCGTTTATGACCCAACCCATATAACTTGACCCATACCTAATATAAACGGGTCGGGTCGGGTCGGGTTGATGGGTTGGGTCAAAAACTGCCACCCCTACCCAAATCTCTCTCAAATCTGAGCACGAAACCGGAGATCTCCGCTCCCCCCGTCCTCGCCCCAAATCTGAGCCGCCGCGAGATCCCTCAGACCAAGCCCTCTTCATTTTCCTCTGAGCCGCTGCGAGTCCCCTTTGAGCCTCCCCGAGTTCCCTCTATGCGCTGCCAGTTGTTCCCCGCGAGTCCCCTCTGAGCCGCCGTGAATCCCCTCTGAGCCGTCGCGAGTCCAAATTATTTCTTTCTTCACCGCTGTTTATATCGCGAGACATCCGACTCTGGCATCAGGCTTCGATTCTACCACCGGAACTCGATTCGGAGGTAAGCTTACCGCTTTCCCTTCACCCTTTTTTCGTTCCAAAACCCTAACCCTAATCCATCGATTATGCCAAATTCTACAGAAAACTTTAATTCTTTCTTGGTGAAAAAAAAACACGAGTCCCCTGGAGAATTACTTTTCCCTTTACTAATTCTTTGAGTTTTGATCATTTCCATGCGATAATTGTTAATTCGTATAGCTAAGGGCAAGGTATTGATTAGGCAAGCTCTCAACTTTGTTTTTGAGAATTGAGTCTTTGCTGTGAATTTGTTGTTGAATTAATTGCGTTGAAATTCTATTTGTGATGGTATAGCAAATGATGATTGTGGATTGGAACGGGTTTGATTATATTAATCCTACTTTGGGGAATTATTAGTGACAGCCAGTTCATGATCTATTTCTTATGCTATCTAGTTGAGTATCCTAATTATGCTATCTAGTTGAGAAATCCTAATCTTGTTTCGAGGCATGGGGAGAACTCTAAGTTCTAGTTTATATTCTTAGATATTAAATGTAGTATATCGTATTGATTATACATGTATTTAGAGTAATTCATTTAGATGTCATCGAAGAAGCACAGGACTTCTATTATAATGGTTCTTTGAGTTTCAGGGCATGGGAAGTACTGCTCGTTTTCATAATGGTGTGATTGTGGTTGCGAGTATTGTGGTAATTGGTAGTGGTGTGGTTGTGGTTTAGGACCAAATAATTTGATAATTGATTGAGAGATCACTTACTAACCAAGCAACTTCTTCGGCAACTGGATTCTCAAGCCTGCAAGAGCTGATGTTTATAGTGCCTGGCATCATAATGGAATCTGGAAACATGTTAGACTTGGGAATTTTGTGATTATTATGGTTGGACCATCAGCAAACAGATAGTATGCATATCATGTGTCTACCTTATGAACTTATACCGAAACAGAATTTATCAAGCTGAATTCTGCCTCAAGAAAATATAATGGCATCCTAGTAGTTCAAGTATTATCATATGCTAAATGACATTCCATTTTATGTTCCTGAATTCTGCCTCCCCCCCTTCTCCTTGAGAAATTACAGTGTTCGGGTGTGTTTCCTTTTTGCCAATTATTATTTTTCAATTGCTATGAATATGCAAACTTTTGTATCTGTAGCTGTGGATCATGGAGTCATCTTCAAGTAATTGTCATGGATTGTTGTGCCATTGTGGAAGGAGGGCTATACTATCCAGATCTGGAACTAAGACGAACCCTGGTCGATTGTTTTTGGGATGCGCTAATTGAAAAGTGAGTAATTGTGGATTCTTCAAATGGGTATCTGATGAAGAAGAGTTTGAAGGTTCAAAGGCAGAGCTTGTTCAGACGAAGCAGTCAAGCGTGGCGCCGCAAGTTTCAAGAGCCGTGTCAAGTGGAGAAGTGTGGGAAAAGAGAAAGATTGAGATTGATATTATGGATTTGTTGAAGCTTGTTATATTTGCTCTTTTATTGGTATTTTTCTAGAATTTGTATTTGGTATTTTTTTGGATTTGTGCTAAGTAGGGTGTAAGAATGTATTATAGGATTTGTTGAAGTGTATGTTCTCTGCATGTTCTTACATTATTGGTAGTATAGTCAAACAAATTCATCCACGGTTTCTATCTGTCTACAAATCCACCTGTGCTTTGGTTATTATTTTTTTCACCTTTTCATTAATGCAGGCACCAAAAGCTGGTATTGAGATCAAAGTTCTGAGTCTAGATATATCCAAATATGGTGGACCTAATCCTATTCTAAATGTCAAGCTGAATGTTAATCCTTTATTTGTCCAGATATGTGGATCACACAATAGTTTTGATAATGCAATGTGAATCATTAAAATCAATGTGAATTCAATGATACAGTTCAGGAAAGCAATGTGAATCATTAAAATCATGTTTTTGTTGTTGTTATTTTAACCTTCAGATACACCTTGACGAGATTATGTCCCCATCAATGTGATTCTGCATCAAATGCAAGCTAGTATTATGTCCCCATCATTTTCGTTGCTAAAGTAATGACCAGCACTATTTCTCACCAAGCTTATGGCTTCATTACTTACATACTAAGGATTAGTACAAGAATTATAAGGTCTCCTGTTTACATGCCATGCTAATTCCATTACTTACATACTAGGGACCAAGCAATCATTTTAATAGCAGGGAAGGAAACTTAATACTAACATGGATGCAGGCTTCAGAAACATACCAAATAATCTTGTTGGTATGCTTGGAGAATGAAGACGTATCAAATAACAATATTCTGAAAATAGCCAACATTTCCTCTAACACCAAAGTTACAATCAAAGTTACATTATCCAAAGTTATATCTGTTGCGCGCAGCGGAAATTTCGGCAGCACTTCGGCAGCACAACAAGAGAGTCAGATCGCAATAAGAATTCCCGTAAAACCAAGGAGACAAGAATCTGAAGCGGATATCTCAACCAAGTGAGATATCGGCTCTTCATCTCATCAGTTCTAGGACTGACCTGTCGAGGGATCCTAAAAGCTATTACAAATCACATAAAAGCAGTACAATCAATTTTTACGTGGTTCGGCAAATTGCCTACGTCCACGGGGCAAGGAGGGGGGAGATTTACTAATAGAGAGAGAGAATACAAATAGGGTTTACACAAGAATCTCACAAATAAAACCCTCACACAAACTCTCAAATCCCTCACAAAGCTCTCTCTACAAAAGGATGCAAAAACCCAACTTTTCTTCTGTCTTTGCACTCCTATGGCCGCCACAAAATTCCGTGCTTGCTTCTGTTCTGCAGCCGAAAAGTTTGCAGCCGACAAACCTCCTCACGCTCTTGCTCCTGTAGCCGCACAAGTGCACAGCCGCAAAAGAAAGAAATCAAAACCTCCCCTGCTTAACCCTAATGACCGATTAATAACCTATTTATATAGTTGCACAAGAGCTAATCGGGTGGGCCTGTAAATGTGGTTGCCTACGTACCCCCTCTCCCAAGGGATCAAGCCGCCCGTAGTTCATCCAAATGGCCGTCAACGGCCTCAACAATCACAAATATTCAACAAGTTTCTGCAATGATCAAACTTGTTGCTCGGAACCACCTTAGTGAGCATATCCGCTGGATTATCCTTCGTGTGGACTTTCACAATTTCCACATCGCCATCTTCAAGAACATCTCGAACGAAGTGATAACGAACGTCAATGTGCTTCGTCCTCGCATGAAAAACCTGATTCTTCGCCAAATATATAGCACTCATGCTATCACAATGAATAGTGACGGATCGCTGCGATATACCAAGTTCTTCCAAAAGTCCTCGAAGCCAAATAGCCTCCTTCACAGCCTCCGTAACTGCCATATACTCTGCCTCCGTCGTAGACAAAGCCACCGTCGACTGTAAGGTGCATCTCCAACACACCGGCGCACGGGTTAAAGTGAACACATACCCCGTCGTAGACCGACGCTTATCCAAATCCCCGGCATAATCCGAATCAACATAGCCAATGCATAGCTGACCACCTGTAGTGTCCCGCTCCTAAAATAAACCAACATTGAGCGTACCTCGAATGTACCTCAAAATCCATTTCACGGCGTCCCAATGACCCACTCCTGGATCGTGCATGTATCTCGAAACCATGCTCACCGCCTGTGACAAATCTGGCCTCGTACATACCATCACATACATCAAACTTCCAACCGCACTCGCATATGGAGTCTTCGACATCAACTCTCGATCTTCAACTGACTTCGGTGAAAGACCAGCTGAAAGCTTCAAATGGGCTCCCAATGGTACACTAACTGGCTTCGTATCCATGCTAACATGGAATCGCTGTAGAACCTTCTTCAAATAAGCCACCTGTGTCAAACAAATTCTGCCCTTCTTCTTGTCTCTGCCGATCTCCATCCCTAAAATGCGCTTCGCCTCGCCCAAGTCCTTCATCTCAAACTCATTCGAAAGCTGAACTTTCAACTCATCTATAGCTGACCTGGAACTAGAAGCAACCAACATGTCATCGACATAAAGCAACAAATAAATGTACGCACCTCCTCTCAACTTGCGAAAATACACGCAAGGATCAAACTGGCTCCGAGTGTACGAATGACCAAGCATAAAACCATCAAATCGCCTATACCACTGTCGAGGAGACTGCTTCAAACCGTATAGCGATTTCTTCAACCTGCAAACCAACTTATCTTTCCCTGCAGCTCAGAATCCCAATGGCTGAGTCATATATATTTCTTCATCAAGATCACCATGAAGAAATGCCGTTTTCACATCCAACTGGTCTAATTCCAAACCATACTGTGCCACCAAAGCTAGCAAAATCCGAATCGAAGAATGCTTCACCACCGGAGAGAAAACCTCATTATAGTCAATACCTTCCTCCTGTGCATAGCCCTTCGCAACCAACCTAGCCTTGAACCTCACTGGAGTGCCCTCAATGCCCTCCTTCTTCGTGTACACCCACTTGCACCCAATCGCCTTCCGCCCCTTTGGAAGCTCTACAAGCTCCCATGTATCGTTCTTGTGAAGAGACTCCATCTCCTCCTGCATAGCCACCTGCCACGAATCAGCCTCCGAACTCTGCTCGGCCTCTCTAAATGTAGTAGGTACTAACTCATCGATACTCTCCACC